GGGCCACCTCCAGGTTACTGATGTCCCGCGTCGCCAATCCGGCGTCGTTCACCCGCCGGACGACGGCCGTGCACTCCGGGGAGTGCGGCGCCAGGGAGATGGAGAACAGGATGTGGGCGGCGTCGGCGCTCGAGTGCCTGGGTGGGTGGCGACGGGTGGTTTAGAGACATGGGAGACAGGCATGCTGGGAGCAAGCTGCAGCTCATGAGGCGAGCCATCAACAGCCCCGGCTGTGCTTTTGCTTGCAGCAGTCCCCAGCATTCCTCCGTAGTCAGCCCCCCCTCAGAGGCCTCACCGGTACTTGAACTCGGTGACGGACACCGGGCTGCCCCCCAGCGCAATCTCCATGAAGTTTAGGAAGGCTCCGCGGTCCTCTGGGATGGTGGTGACCAGCATGGCCTCCGCCCCGCCCCCGATGTCAGCCATCTCTGTGCGCGAGATGGGAGGGAGGGGGTTGAGTATGATGGTGTTGATTGTGGAGGACCAAGTTGCGCACACATCGGGCAGCCCTCCCACACGGTTTTCCACTCCCATCCATGAGTTCCCTCGACACTTGATCTCCCGATCACAACACCCCCTGCCACCCCACCACCCATTCCCTACACAGGCCCCCCATCAAACCCACCTGACACGACCCGTAGCTGGTCGAAGTTCATGTTGGCCCCTGAGGTCACCGCCACCACCGTGGCCCCCCTGCCCTCGGGCCGGCGCAGGAAGGCCTTGGCCCCTGCCACCGCCACCGCGCCCGCCGGCTCCAGGATGGACCGCGTCTCGTTGAACACGTCCTTGATGGCGGTGCTGATGGCCGCGTTGTCCACCAGGAGCACGCCATCCACCAGGGCCCGGCACAGGCGGAAGGTCTCCGCGCCCACCTGCTTCACCGCCACGCCGTCGGCGAAGCCGTCGACGCGCGACAACTGTACGCGCCGGCCTCGCGCCAGGCTCTGCGCCATGGCGTTGGCCCCCGCCGGCTCCACGCCGTACACCCTGATCCCGGGCTTGACCGCCTTGACGTAGGCGGCGATGCCCGCGATCAACCCACCGCCGCCTGGAGGGGGTGGGGGTTGGGGTGATGTGTGGGGTGGGTAAGTGCATGGAAGTGTTGAAAGTCTACCTTTATGCATGCCTGAGGGTGCATGGCAGGAAGGGCACAGGAAGACCACGACCACGAACGGAGCCGGCGACGCAGGGCTGATTCATGGGGGGGCCCTGCACCTCCAACGCGCCCCCGGTTCCCCATTCACCCTCGGCCCCCCCGCCTCACCCACGGCGACGAAGATGGCGTCCAGGGAGTCCATGTCGGTCTGGCGCAGGATCTCGGCGGCCACCGTGCCCTGGCCGGCGATGACGTAGGGGTCGTCGAAGGGCGGGACAAAGGTACGGCCCTCCGCCGCCGCGCGCGCCTGGGCGTGTGTGTTGGTTTCGCCAAACGTCTCGCCCACCAGCTCCACGCCCGCGCCCAGGGCACGCACCGCCGCCACTTTGATGGCGGGGGTGGTCACTGGCATGCAGATGATGGCCTCGCAGCCCTGGAAAGGAGGGAAGGGGGGAAGAGGGAGTCTGGGAGAGGGATGGGTCAGGAGGGGGGGGCTGAGGGCAGGATCAGCAGAGACCGAAAAGACTTGGGGCTAGAAATACGCGGCCAGGGAATGGGAGTCATGATGGCACTGGGCCGCATGCGGCAAGCGTGTGATCCAGGGCATGGGTGCCTTCATATGGACTCCCGACAATCTTTCAGCCGGCCCCCTTGGGCCACTTCCCCCTTCCTCCTCGCCCTGCACACCCCTCACCAGCTGCTTGGCGGAGAATGCGACGCCCTGCGCGTGGTTCCCGGCGCTGGCGGTGATCACGCCGGCCGCCAGCTGCTCTGGAGTCAGCTGCGTCATGCAGTTGAAGGCCCCCCGCAGCTTGAACGACTTGACGGGCTGTGGGGTCAGATTGGACAAGGTTGTGCAGGGCTCGAGTAAGATTGGAAAGCGAGAGGGGTCGGACGAGAAAAGGGGGCTCCCCAGTCAATGCTGAGGATCAGGAGACGGCGCCACACGATGCTCCGTACCATGGTCACCCACTACCAAGCAGGAACACACCTGCAGGTCCTCCCTCTTCAGGAGCAGGGTGCTCTGGAGTGCCTGGCTCAGCTGGGTGGCAGGCTGCAGTGGGGTCTCCACCTGCGGCGCAGAGGAGGGGACACGTCGTCCTGACTGCAATGCCATCGGCTGACCCTTGTCCTACGGCTAGGAACCTCCGGCCATTTCGGGCACATGAGAGCAGAAGAAGGTTTGGCCGTGACCCCCCTCGCTGCAAAGGACTCCAGGTCCACTCACCACGGCGTCGTAGACCTTGGCCGTCAGGATTTCGCGCAGGTATCCCCCAGGTTGATGCCTCCACGCCGTGTCAAAGTAGGGACTCTGAATCAGGAGATGTGGTAGGCTGCCTTCGGGGTAGAGTCGTTGATGCCAGGCCCTCTTCCGGGAGGCACGCCGAGTCCAGGAAACAACCCCGATACTCCTCACAGCCTACACATACACGCTGGGGACCCACCGGCGTCCAGTCGTCCTTGGGGTGAGCTCCACCGGTGCGATTCACGGTGCTAATCTGACCGGGAGCCAGAGCATAATCTTCCGGGGCCACAGTCACCGCCGCATCCTCGAGGACATCCCTACGAGCTGCGCTGACAGGCGTGGCCTCCGAGCCCACCAGAGCGGCGCACGCGCATGCACCTCTCACTGGATTTGCATGCCGGCCCTGGGAATGCGCCAGGGTGCATGTGCCGCTTGCACGTCGGGTAAGGACATGGTGGGAGTTGGTAGTGTGCGGTCGCCCACTGGGCGCCAAGTTCGTGCTCGCCAAGCACACCGCCATCCGGGCGTGCCTAGTAAACAGGAGTGTCGAACAGCATTTATACACAATGAACGTAGAGGGGAATAGTTCCTGTCCTCGTGCTGGTGATAGGAGCACGTGCTCTGTACAGTCCGGGCGCGATGAGGGCTTTGTTCGGGTATGTCCAGTATTCGTAATCTCGCACTGCAACGCGCCATGACAGAAACACCAAGGCCCGAGCCAACAAGTGGTGGTGATACTCTGCTGCTGATACATGCATTATATACTCTTGGTTTTTTATATACTCCTGACATTCATATCCTCTTGGAGATGCTGGAAAGCATGTCTGCATTGTTACAATGTCCAACAGCGCTACTTGCCAATGTAGCCCACTGGCCGCTTGGTCCCGCACTACACTGGACATGAGATTATTCACATACCCTCCTCTTTCGAACATACTAGTTTCATGGCCGCTGTTCGTTGATCCGCTATCGGGTTCCCGCATAATTTACCGCATGGCCGTGCCCAGCAATCGCAGCCCGCCACACCAGCACAACAGCTTGCCGGACTGGCACGGCTGAATGAACACAGTTCATAGATGCACCGGCTTGCCCTTTTGCACTATCGAGAAACTATCTGCTGATCAGCATGACTTTGTGTCGCCGGCATGGGGTATCAACAGGTCGCGATCCCGGTCCGGAGACGGCGCCTCAGCGGGCCGCATGGACCGGTTCCCATTGATTCCGTCGACACCGGGACACTTAAAGATACAAAATGGCTCTGGAACGCATGATGGCTGTACATTGACTCATCTGCGGAATGGGAGGACAATCATCCACAGCGCCCTTCTGGCGTTGCGCGTCGCTCATTCTAATCGTCGCCCTGCTCGCAGGGTGAGTCGGGGACGGAGAGTTGACCCAGTCAGGCCTGCAGCATATCCTGTGGTCAAATGCCTGCATTGCCTCCTGCGCCTCTTGTTCCTGCAGTGTATATACCACCGTCCATCTCGACCTTCATGCAGCGCTGCGGCCGGGTTGCCCCCCAGTCCTTCTCCCTCCCGACGATCCTAATCCGGATGAATCACCATCTCCAGCACCCCCCCCTCCCCCGTTCCCGCGCTCCGGCATCCCACCCTCCATCCCTCACTCTCCGTCGCCCTCACCCTCCCTCACTCCCCCATCTCCTCCAGCCCCAGCTCCCAATGCCTTGGGATCGCCGCCCTTTGGTTCCCCACCTCCTTCCCCACCACCGCCACACCCCTCCTCACCACCACCCACTTTCCCACCATTATCCCCTGAGTTTCCACCTCCCCCCGAGCCTCCATCGCCGAGCCCACCACCTCCACCCAGCCCGGCTGTGGCACCCCAGCCCTTCCCAGACACCCTTGCCTCCCCCAGTCTCTGCCAGCAGATGCCCGGGAGTGGCCTACGACGGCTTCCTGTTGGGCTGCCTGGTGTGGATGGACACCGACGGCGACCGCGCCCCCTCCCTGGGCGAGGAGCAGACCCTCGTCCGGCGCGGATCCTTCGTCCTGGGCACCGCCCAGCCCAGCGGCACCCTGCGAATCGTGCCGGCTTCGGTGTCGGGCAACCTGACCCAGGCGAGAGCAAGGGGTGGGGCCAGGGACCAGCAGGATTGACCCTGGGTGGGCCTGCTGCATGGTGAAGGGGGCTGAGTCACACAAGGACCCGGTCCTGCTGGTACGGCGTGTGCACTGATGCCCTATTCCCAGGCCCCCTCGTCCCACGCAATAGGTGGACAGCTACAACAGCCTGGACACCTGCTTTGACACCGCCACCCTCTGGCCGGAGACGCTGCCCCTGGCGGCGCCCCAGCCCTCCGACTGCAGAGCCAACATCACCATCAGCCCCCTCTCCACCCTTGCTGTCTACGCCAACTCCAGCAGGGCCGCGCTGCGCGACGACCTGGGCCTGGTGCCGGCCCCCATGGACGCCCACAACGCCTACTCGGTGTGTTGGCCGGGGATGAGTCATTCAGCGCTGCAGGGTGCCGTCCCGCAGGGGCTGCAGGATGCCCAGGCTCTGCAGCTGGCCGTACTCCCTGCTTAAGCTAGAAAACCAGAAAACGTAGTCATCTCTCGTGCGTCAGGCGCCAATCTTATGCCCCCCCTCTGTTCATGTGAACCTTGCTCTCAGCGCCCGCTCCTTGCCGGCCCCCATTCCTCAGACGGCGCTGCTGGGCAACAGCGACGCTCGCGCCGAGCTGGCCAAAGAGGTGGAGGTCAAGATGCTCATCCTCACGTCCCTGCAGCTGCTGGTCCCCGGCGCAAGCGACGCCGAGTACAAGCAGGTAGAGGGTGGTGGAAGGAAAGCCAAGAGAAAATTGAAAGCAGGAGAGGGGTGCATCGGCGCGACTCATGCGCTGAGGTGGAGCGTGCCCCGAGCGCCGCCGCCGTCCGAGCTCCACCTTGGCACATGCGCGCGTGCCTGGGAGCCGCAGGGTCTGGGTCCTTTTGCTGGTGGCGGGGGTGGCCACGGCCCAGCGCCCGCCCCCTCCCCACCCACCCCACAGCCCCTCATCGCGGCCCCTCGCAGAGCGCCATCCCCCTGTTCGAGATGCTGGGCAACATGATCCTTGATCGGCCGCGGCGGCGGCGCAGTCTGCTGACCGGCGGCTCCCTGGATCTCACCGACGCCGACAGCATTGCCAGCTTCCTGAGCCAGGCGCAAGGCATGCTGAGCAGCACCGCCGCCACCAGCAGCATGAGGGCGGTGGGTTGGGTACCCTGCTCTTGGGACGCCACGCGTCTGGCCTTGACGTTACGTGCGCGTCCCTGTCCAGTTGCGGGCCCCGAGGATTCTGGACATGCATTGGCTCCTGCTGCAGCCGCCGCAAGTCCTCGAAACACGTTCACCGCCTTCGCTTCCATCACAACCCCCTCTTGCAGTCGGTGGCCAAGGCGGTGGCGGTGCTGATCAAGTACACCGACTACCTCCTGTCGGTGACCGACGTCCAGAAGGCGTCCTCCCTGGCGCAGTCCCTGCTCCTCCCGGCCACCGCCGCGCTGCAGGAGGGCAGCCTGACGCCGGCCCAGTTCGCGCGAGCCACCAACGCCACAGCCATTGCACTCGCGCTCAGCGGCGCCACGCTGGACGGCACGCTGTGGGGCAACCCCACGCCGGGCGAGGACGCCACCGGCGAGTCCGGGATCATGGAGGGGGGACAGGGGGGTGGCAACCACGCCAAGCTGGTGGGAGGCCTGCTGGGAGGTGAGGCGCTTGGATGGTGGTGGTTGTGTGTGTGGCGTATGAGGCTTGAGAAAGGGTGCCCCCCTGCTTGACTTTGGCGCGAGAACCATTTTTTCCCCCCGACGCACAGACTTCCAACTACGCGACTCATCGAGGCCGCCACCCACTCCCGCAGGCATTCTAGGCGGTGCAGTGGTGCTACTGGCCGCCGTGGCGGCGCACCTGGCCCTGCAGCTGTGGCATGCGCAGCGCAGGCAGCAGCAGGGGCCCCCGGCGGCGCCGGCGAGTGCTGCACCCGTCGCCTCCTTCACCCTGGCCGCCGGGCAGCCAGAGCTGCTGACCAGCGCCAAGCTGGCGCAGGGGCCGGAGGCCACGAGCAAGACCTCCCTCGGCGCCCTGATGCCACGGCCGCCCGGCCCAGATGCGTCCCCTTCGGCCGCGGCCGGCGGAGTTGGCGCGGAGGAGAGCGCGCGAGGAGGAGCCCCGTGAGGTGGTTTTGGCGAGGAGGTCGCCTGTTCTCGCTTCCATGGAATCATGCAGGAGAAAACATTGCCCTGCCCTCGAAACACAACCTGCTCGCCAGGCTTCTGGCCCTCTGGCCAAGTGCCTCTCTTAAACCCATGCCCCCCCCCTTGTGCCTGCCGTAAGCGCATGCATGCATGACTGTCACAGAGGTTTCGCCTTGAACACGGCGATGGGTGTGAAAAGTGCAGTCAAGGACCGTCAGGTGGTGGCAATGGTCGTCATAGTGAAAGAGTATCAGACAGGGATGGCGGCCAGGTGGTCGAGGGGACGGCCTCATTCCTGCTCCAGGGCAGGGTGTGCTGGCTCGTCGCGTCTGCCCTAGCGCCCCTCGGACAGCTGGCCCGCGATCTGGGCGAGGTCGACGCCCATGAAGCGACGCGTCCCCGCCAAGCCAGTCACGCAGACCTCGTCCACGGCAGACCCTGGCCATGTGTCGCGCAGGGACAGCGCCACGTTCCCTCCCTGTGACGGGGTGGGAGAGTGTGCATGCATGGGGAGGGCTCTTGAGCTTACAGCAAGGCACCTGCAAAGCGGCAAAGCAGCACGGCACCACCCGCCCCTCTCCGCCCTAAAGGCCCAGCCAGCGCAGACATACCCCTGCCAGGCTGAGGCTCGCGTCGACGAGAGCGGTGTCCGTCGAGGAGGCTGCCGGGCAGCTGCTGAGCAAGTGGCGTCTGTGGCCATGCCCAGCCACGGTCCGCATGATCTCCTGGACCTGCGATGGGGTGGGCGTGAAGGGAGCAGTCAGTTCAGAGGGATTTCCAGATGTCCAGAGAGCCCCTGTCGGTGCGCTTCAGCCTGCAGGCAGCTGCTTGCCGTCCCTCCACTCGCTAAGCACGCCCCTGCCCGGCGACCCCTCACCATACTCGATCTCCTGACCCCCCACCAGCAGTATTCCCAAGCGCCTACCGCTGCAGGGAGAGGCATGCCGGCCAGTGTCTTGGGCAGGGGCACGCCGGGCGGCTCCAGCGTCGCCTGTGTCACGCGCATCGCGCCGTCCAGACGGAGCTCCGCCTCGTGGGTCGCGGTGCGGCAGGGCAGGGCGCCGAGGTCGTGCTTGAGGCCGACGGCGACGGTCGGGTATGCGGTGACCAGTCGTAGGCGGATGCTGCCCTCCCGGAAGCCTAACACGCTGACGCCAGACAGGGCACAGCACAGCTCGGTTGCGGCGGCAGCCCTGCGTGGATGGGTGGTTGGCAGGCTTTTTGGTGCTTTGTAGGGAAGAGAAGGTTGGGTGTACGTGCTCGGAGGGGCGGGGGCGGCAATCCGGGCCAGGAGCATGCCAACGAAGCACCCTCTTGCCTCCGTGTCATCCAGACGATCGAAAGTATCTCTGTCTAGGACCACGGAATCCCTGCCAGGCACACTAGGGTGCCTGTCGAGACCAGGACCGCTCCCATTGACCAAAAAAATCCCACCCCTGCCCTCACGTTGACACGCGACCCCAACAGCCCCCTCACCAGCGGACCAGGTCGGCGCAGTGGTCGGGGCCGGCGCGCTCTTGACCCCGGCGCGTTCGGCGCGCCGCCAGGTCGCCGGCACGCGCGCTCAGGCCGGAGGCCTCGTCGCGGGCCGCCTGCGTGGCCGCCAGCGCGTCCTCCGACGCGGAGGCCGCGGAGGCCAGATCCGCCTCCAGCCGCCGCGCCTCCTCGGAGGCGACGGCCAGCTCGCGCGACAGGCGCTCCAGCTCGGCACCCGCCTCCTCCGCCCCCCCGGCGGCGCCGGCATCGGGGTCCGCCGGGCCGGGCGCGGGGGGGAGAGTGGCCAGGCGCCCCGCCAGGTCAGCGCCGCGCGACAGGAGCTCGGCCCGCCCTGCACAGACCTCCTCGATCAGCCCCTCGATCTCCGCGGTCAGTGCCTTGTTCCCCGCCTTGACCGCCTGCAGGCGGGCCACAGTGGCCTCCACCTCGGCCTCGAAGTCGGCGAGCTGGTCGGCCTCAGTCCCGGTGGGGAGACCCTCGATCAGGGCTGCGAGGGAGGGCGCCATTTTGGAAGGCATGTGAGAGGGTTGTGGGGGGGTTCCTGAGCATCCCCCTGGAGGAACAAAGTGGGAGTTGCTGCGGACAGTGCATGTCCGCACTGGCCGCTGGTCGAGTCGGGAAGCATGACCAGCTCCTGCACATTGCTACCGCGAGGCCCTCCATCCAAAAACCAAGTGCCTACATGTGATGAAGGACTCCTTGACCTCGAAGTGCAGGAAGCTGTTCTTGAGGCTGCCGAACTGGCGCTTAAGGCGACGAAGATCTGCCTCGCCCACCTCATCCGTCCTGGCCCGGGCGGCGGCCTCTACCTCGTCAAACCTCTGTGCCGTCGTTGCGAGCAGTGACGTCAGGGCCCTGCGCGGTACAGCGGAGGGGGATGTGGCTCATGGGAGGTTTTCCCGGCAAAGTCACTAGCCTTGGGAGTACTTTAACTATCACAGGCAGAATTGTATTCCTAGGCGCTGAAATCAACCATGCATCGGACTTGCCTCTCGATAGCCTCCCCACTGAGCTGGTTGGACGCCTCTGCTATCCCGTCGGGCCCATCTGGTGAAAGGGAAGCTTGGTGCGAGGCATGCCCAAAGCTGAGCCTTTTTGTCACCGCGGGGCCTATGACTTGCGCCATATCTTGAGCGCAGATGGAATGAGATGGACGCCCTGCGCCTTGAGGGGAAAGGTCGTCTTTTAGTGAGTCGACCAAATCGACAGCCAGCGAGTTTCCAATTTGCGCGCCCTGAAATCTGGCCGGCCGCGAAATGACATGCACACTTCCGTAATCCCAACGTACCGAGTCTCAGTCTCCCAACTTCGTTGCGGACATCGTCGGCGGTCTCCACTTAAACACAGGGCATATCACAGCACCAACATTCTCAAGCGTGTCCCCAGGAACATCACAGCATGGGCATCGACTGCAACCTGCGTGACCAGCTTACCTTCTATGGCAGCTTTCACGCGAACAAGTGGAACCAGCTCATTCACTTTGTGTTTGTGCCCGTCATCTTTTGGTCGTTCTTAGTGTGGCTGGCCTACACCCCGGAACTGATTGCTTACGACGTTTACAAGCACCTGCCTTCCGGGACCCCCGCCTGGGCGCTGACTGTCGCGAGGTGAGCCTGCCCGGGTCCGGGAAGTGCTAAGGAATTGGACGTCACTATTCAAGGCTCAGGATGGCGTGCCATGGAATAAGGAACTGTGACGCTGATCGACCTCTGCCTCGTGTACCGGTCACGAGGAGAGGCTGACTGATCGTCCTGAGCTCCTCCCCTTATACCATGTAGGTACCTCTCATTCAACGGGGCCTTCGTCATCACCGCCCTGTATGGAACCTACTACACCGTCCTGGATGCCTTTGCCGGCCTGAGCTGGAGCCTGTGCGTCGGCCTCCCCGCCTGGGCAGGGGCGGTGGCGTTCCGCACCCGTGTGCCAAATGCGTGGGCCTGGGCCATCCTCATCCACGTGCTCAGCTGGGTCATGCAGATCCTGCCCGGCCACATCTGGGCCGAGAAGCGGCGCCCCGCTTTGCTCACATCCTTCTTCCAGGTTGGTTGCAGGGGTGCCTGAGATTGGGGGGGCCAGCGGCAGGTCCAGAAGCACTCTTCGCCCATCGCAACATTGTAAAACGTGTCCCTTCCCAGTCACCAACATGCCCTTCACTACCCTTTACATCTCCCCCAATCTTCTTCCTGCAACCCATGCGCAGAGCGTAGTGCTGGCGCCCCTCTTCGTCTGGTACGAGCTTCTGTTCCTCCTGGGCTACCGACCACAGCTCTATGCCGACATCAACGCCCGCATCCAGAGGAACGTGGCGGAGTACAGGGCCGCACAGCGGCCGCTGCTAGCATCCGGGCAGTAGCTGTGATTGCGTGACACCAGAACACTATGTTTTTTGTCATTTTTTACATGCATGAATCCAAAGTGACACTTGAATCCGGCCATGTGGCAGATGCCGATGCGAGCGAGGGCACCCCAGTGCCAAATCACAGTTTTCTTTTTTTGTCTTGATGGAGGCACTCTTGACCTCAGCTTTGCCTTTCAGAATGCTTTTCGCCTATGCCCTGCCCATCTTTGTCAGAGTACTGTGCTCAGATTGTGCAGCACCCGCTGGCATGCCACATACAGTCACCGAGTGGAATGCCAACGACAAGGGGCAGGCCACCCCATTCATGCCACACTCACTGCAAACCCCAGGCTCTCCACGGCTTCCACCAGCTCTGCCTCGCTGGTGCTGCTGTCGACCACAACCTCCGCCAGCCCTGCCTCGAGATTCACGCTGGCCTGCCATACAGGTTGGGCGGTAGGCTGACTCAGCGGCGGATTCCTGGAGACGAGCGGCAGGACATCATTATACTTTGCAATGCAGAAGCCTGATGCAAGGGAACCTTCCGGTACCAACCAGCCACGGTTGCCATGCCCTCACCGTCTCCACATCGGACCGCTGGACCAGGGTGTTCTCGGTGCGGCTGCTGCAGGCATCGCACACCATGCCCTCCACCTGAGGATAGGAGAAGGGTAGCAAGGCAGGTATTGAACATGTGATGGGAGTATGCATCCCACAGATCCCATTGCACAGCATGAGTTATGTGTAGTGAGCAGAGCACCCCCCTCATGCAGGCCTGCTTGCCTTGAGGACCACCGTTTTCTTGGGTGCATCCGAGGTGACTGCATCCTTGGGACCTGAGGCATGCACGATCATCGACGCATGCCTGGGCACGGTATAGCGGACAGAGCAAGGCGAGGAGTGGGGCCGGGGTGTGGGGTTCGCCATGCGCGCCGGTGAGGGTGTGGGCATGTTGCCCACAGGGACCCCCCTGGCATGGGATGGGATGCAGACGCACGCGTGCATGTGCATCTTGTCGAAGTCTGCGCTTGCCGTTTGTGACTTTGATCAAGAGGATAGGGCCAGACAATACATTGTATACCCACGTCCTGATGCTGGTCAGTGACGGGATGGCCATGCAGGTACCAGTCGGATGTCGTCATGAGGCCCATGCTGCCGGTATCGGCATTCGGTCGCGTGCACCGACAGCATAGTGCATCCACGATTGCGCCGGTATGATACTTCTCCCGTCGAATACCCTTCGAGGGCCTGTGCAGGCCGTGATGTAGGCCCAGGTACTCCCGACGGCCATGTTCCTGAGGCCCAGGCGCTCGCAGGTGGGAGTCTCCACCTCACACAAGCGACGCCTGCTCCGGCTCAGCACCCCCCGGAACCTGGTGGCGGCCCTGACCCTGGTGAGGCTGGCCGAATGTGTAGCTGCATGTCGACTCAAGGGCTTGTAACGTGCGATCAAGCATCAACCACCACACATGAGGGCCCCCACATTCTTCCAAAATAGACGCTGGTGGGCGCCTACCTCACCTGGAGCCTGTCTGCCGGCCTCGCCTGCGTCGGAGACTGCCCCCGCGCTGGCCCAGCCTCTCGCCCCTCGCCCCCGGAGGGCGGGGTCTCCGCCTTCTGCGACGAACACTTTGGATATGGCTGGCTGCGGCGCTGGAACGCCACCGCCGCGCCCCGGTGCTGGACGGCGGAGGGCCACCTGCCAGGGTCGAGGGTGACCTGCCGCAGCGTGCGGGATGAGCACATGCCCGCGGCCTCGGCCCCGCACGCCATGTGCGATGTGCGGGGCCTGGTGGTGGACACCTCACGCATGGTGGGCTGGCGCCATCGGTGGGAGGAGGTCGAGACTTTGCCCTGGCGCCGACCCCTTGCCAGGGCGTCCAGGGGATGGACTGGTTGCGTAGCCCTGGGCCCCACTCCACCTCTCATCAACACCACCAGTGACCACCCCCGCTTATGGTCTCACAATCTTTGCTCCCCACCCTATCGCAGACGCGCGCCCGCTGCCCCCGGCACCGCCCCGGCTACCTGTGCGAGACGCCCACCTACCATCGATACGGGCAGGGCGCCTTTGAGCTGGGCTGCGACTGGCCCTCCTTCTCCCTGGCCGACCACAGCCCCGACCACGGTCGAGACATCTACCAGGCCATGGCCGCCGGGGCGCGCGGCTGGCTCTCGCCCCTGGTCCTGCGCGACACGGCGCCCGAGCCGCGGCCCACGCTGTTCGTGACGCGCGAGGTACGGGAGCACGCCAACCTGTTCCACTGCCTCACGGACCTCTTGAACGCCTTCCTCACGCTGCGCATGCTGGGCTGGCAGACCTGGGGCGTGCTCCTCCTGGACGACCACCCGCCGGGGCCCTTTGACGAGCTCTGGGCCCGCCTGCACGCACGGGGGGGCGGGGAAGGAGGGGACCTGGTCCTGACTGGCGGAGCAAAGTTGCCCCCCGTACCGCGCCTGTCCGACATCACGGCAAGCAAGGAGGGAGAGGGTTTGGGGACTGAAGGGTGCGGGGGGGCTGCATGCTGGGGCGATGGGGTGGCGGCGCGCCGCTTCCAACTCGAGGCCATGCTCCAGTGCCCAAACATGCCGGCCAGCGACACCCTGGCCTGGCAGGCGGGGAGGCTCTTGGAGGCTCACCGACCCTCCCACCGCTGTCGTTGAAGGCCCTCTCCCCCCACATCCCAAAATCCTCACAGGGCCCCAAGCGGCCGCTGTACACGGCCGCCGCCTTCCCGCCCCCGGGGTACACCTCGCTGCTCTTTGCCCACCTCTACGAGCCCAGCAGCTGCCCGCACCCCACCCCGCTCTTCGCCGACTTCCGCGCCTTCCTGCTGGGCCTCTTCGACCCCGCCCGGCGCACCCTCGGCCGGCCCCTCGCCGCCGCGGCATCCGACGCGTTCAACGTCCTGGTGGTCAGCCGGCGCCCCGGGCAGGGCCGACGCCGCGTGGCGCGCCAACTGGCCAATGAGGAGGAGCTGGTGGACGCGCTGCGCGCGCTAGATGGGCTGGAGGGGCGGGCGGTGGCGGTGCACCTGCTGGACCTGGCGGGGGCTGGCCCTGGAGCAGCAGCTGGCGCGGATAGCGCAGACCGACCTGCTGGTGGGCATGCATGGGGCGGGGCTGGCGCACGCCCTCCTGGCGCGGCCGGGGACGGCGCTGCTGGAGCTCTGGCCGCAGCCCGAGGGCATCTGGCGCTGCTATGAGCACTTTGCGGAGTGGGCGGGCCTGCACTACGGGTGAGGCACGGGGGCCTGGTTGTTTGCGGAGTGTTTGTGGATGCAAGGAGGGAGGGAGGGATAGGGTCCGGGAGCGATGCAGGCGGCCTGGTGATTCGAACCGCAGCGTCAACCCAAGGTGCCGGGTCATGTGCCGGGCGAGTTCTAGAGATTCACATCCATGGCAAGGATCCCTGGCAAGAACCCCACACCCCCCATTCCCTCCCCACCCCAGGCGCTGGGCCAACCCCGACCCCAGCAAGCACCAGAAGAGGGGCCCCACCGGCGACACGACGGAGGTGGATGTGGCCGCTGTGGCAGAGCTGGCGCGACAGCTCCTCACCCAGGTGGTCGCCTCGTCGGGTGCTCGCCAGGGCAGCTGACCAGATCGGTTATGGTGCATTGTTGATCTGTATTCGATGATGTTGCTCTGGCCATCCATGCTTTCGGTATTCTCACAAGGAAGCTCTGAGACTGTATGCGTTCGGCATGAAACTCGGCAATTCAGTCAGCGAGGAGAATGGACGTCGGAGTATCATATTTTGGGCAAGGAGGAGGGGAAGAAGTCAGCGTGTAAACTCGAGGTGTTGAAGCCAGCATGGCTCTGTCTGGTGCACAGGGTCAGCAGGGCACGCTTGTGGGCAACTTTGTCGCGCCCGGCAGTTCGACGCACGCACCCTGCAGCCAGCCGAGCGAGCTGCCCTCGGCCCTGCTCCAGGCGGTGAAGGCCTCTGGGTGCGCCCGGACCTCCCGGACCAGATCCTCTCGGGCGATCCAGCGAGTGCCCGCCACTTCAGCGGGGTCCACCTCAAGCCTGTCGCCCCGCCACCCTGCCAGCAGGTAGCTCTGTACCAGCTCCCGATCGTGGAAGTCGTGCAGCTTGAGGTCCCGCAGGTGCGTCGGTGCAAGGGGACCCTGGAGGTCCGCCCTGTCAACACTGATGCCCAGCTCCTCCTTCAGGCCCCGCACAGCAGCCTGCAGGTGTGCCGACCAGGTCACGCATAACTATCATATTGTATTTGGACGGCAGATATCAATGCCTAGGTCCCGCAGTGCCTGGCATTGTCCCACCAAGCCCTGCTCACCTCCACATACACCTCCCCCGGCTGCAAGTGTTCTGCGACCGACAGGTCCCACTGCCCCGGCCCCATTTTCTTGGCGAGGCTACGCTGCTGCAGCAGGATCTTGCCCTCGGGGTCCGTCACCCAGCAGTACACAGCGCGGTGCAGCAGGCCCCGGGAGTGGCACTCAGCGCGAGGGGCGGTGCCCACCACCCGGTCGTCCTCATCCACCAGCTCGAATATCTCGTCCTCGGCATCTGCCTGACCCACCATTAGTCTGCAGGGGTAATTACCATATTTGTGACCGAGTGTAAGCCCGCCTTGCCCTTTTCAGGATCCCACTGATCTGAGATGTCTTGTCAGCGCGCTGTCGGCATTGGCGTGAATGCGCGCAAGGCACACACGAGATGAGCAGGAACAACAATTACAACAGCACGAGCGCGGTCGACATGCTGTTACCAGAGTTCGGTGTTTATACAATCATCGAGGATGGGCGAGGAGGCCGACCACCGACTCCCTATTACGAACGGGCAGAAGTGGTCCAAGAGGAGTCCGTAAACATTCCAAGATCTCATGCACATGGACTCAATCTTATGGTATTAAATCACCCATGTGCATCAGGGACTGGGGTAGGGACAGCCGAGAAGAGGTTTGGTGGCCAATGTCATGCGGCATGTCATTATCCAGGTGGCAACCTCCTCCTCCGAGTTACCCATGCTGGGGCAGCTGACAGAAGCACTCGTGCGCAAGACACATCCCTGGCCAGCCATGCAATCAATATATTACAAACAAATTCTGAGAATGAAAGAATTCATCAAAAAAATCAAGCAAGACACTTAGAGGGGAAAACCTAAGTCGTTGACTTATTTGGGGCAATGAAGGGGGAAAGGTGATGTCACGATGTACATATTCAGTCAGAGCCAGCTGGGCGCCATCTTAGGCGTTGGTTCAGTAGGGCACGCACTGGCGCTGGTCTGTCATGGTCGGTAGCTGGCCACACGCACCCTGCAGCCAGCTGAGCGAGCTGCCCTCGGACCTGAGCCAGGGGTTATAGGCCTCTGGGTTCGCCTGGGTGTCCCTGATCAGATCCTCCCGGGAGATCCAGCGAGTGCCCTCCACCTCAACGGGGTCTACTGTCAGCTGGTCACCCCGCCATCCTGGCAGCAGGTAGTTCTGCACGAGTTCGCGGTCGTGGAAGTTGGGCAGCTTGAGGTCCCGCAGGTGCGCGGGAGCCAAGGGCCGGAGGTCTGCCCGGCTGACACTGATGCCCAGCTCCTCCTGCAGCCCCCGCACAGCAGCCTGCAAGCGATGTGACCAGGGTGATTTGAGCCTTGCTGACACAATTTGAAACCAGAGAGGTCAAGACCTCGTCCTCGCCATGGCCCAGCACCGTCCTCCCAGCTCCGATCTCACCTCCGCATACTCCTCTCCCGGCTGCAGGTGCTCGGCGACCGACAGGTCCCACTGGCCCCGCCCCAACTTCTTGGCCAGACTACGCTGCTGCAGCAGGATGTTGCCCTCGGGGTCCATCACCCAGCAGAAGACCGACTTGTGCAGCAGGCCCCGAGCGTGACAGTCGCCGCGAGGGGCGGTACCCACTACCCGGCCGTCCTCGTCCACCAGCTCGAAGGTCTCGTCCTCGGCATCTGCCGGAGCCAAGATGGTCACTGAGCTGTTAAAACCATACTTTTCACCGATGGGAAGCAGGTTTGGTAACTTTCGGCGTGTGTGCCGATGATCTGAAATGTGTCCTGGTCGCGCTGTCGCGTGCAGGGCGAGGGTTGCGTACGAGGCCCTCTGCCCCCAAGGCCCTCGAACACCGGTGTGAGTCCTGAAGCTTGCCATTGAAAGGTCAGGCTACTGGAATGATGGGGGAATGATGTCTCAACGGAGTACATCGTGCGAATATATGTACGTGGCCAGTTTCAGGGATCCCTCCCACCCACCACGCGTCCGCGCTGTGGCGCAGGGGGCACTACGGGTGTCCGGAGCTGCTGCCGAAGCCGGGGCCTGGGAAGGCCACGATGCACATAAGGAGTTGCATAAGCAGCTGGTGACATACAATCGGAGGGACTGGGGAAGGTTCGCCTTGAGATTAGTGATGTGCGTAACGATGTTAGGGTTGTCATTGCGAGTTGTCATTGGACGCACCCTGCCTTCCGGTCCTCGCCGAAAGTGAGCGGCCTCATTCTGCCAATGTGCAACATACCCTACAGGCTGTCGAGTAGTACACCATTAAAACGTCACAAAGGGTTTTCCAATAATCGGATCGACAAGGTTTGGTTGAGTACCGCGGAAGATTCGGTTACACGAGGAGTGTGCTGCGCAAGATGAGCAACTTCCTTCTGGAACAACGCAGATGCTTCTGAGAAGGGCACAGCGACCGAGGGTGTCGATCAAGCATGGAAAAGGCATGCGGTGTACAGGCTGTTGGGATTTGACCGTTGGGCACATGGGTCCTCTGGAGGACGTTTTCATCGAGGAAGGCCGGCCGTCTGGGTAAGTAACCTAGGACATTAGGTCTCCGAGACCGGAAGTCCTGATGCCCGCACAAGGGTTGGATATTGTCTCGGAGATGAGAGGCTACGCCTCTCTAGGGTGGTTACCGTCTCGCGAATGACAACAGTAGCCATCGCGCGGTCCTCAGCAAACAGAGGCCTCAGAGGTAGGCGAGAGTCACGGCGACGGATCCCTTCTCTGGTGGGTGCAGGGTGAGGCGCAAGCTTACAGGGTTCAGTTTTCATGAGAATATGACAGAATCTGAGAAAATGGAACAGCGGGAGTGTTGCTGTAGTTTTACAAGATTGAAAGTGACGGGGTTTAGGCGTACTGCTCTCGTGGCGAATTGAGGGTCAGGGTTATACAGCGTTACGATTCTCAGGTATCTGATGTGGCCTTACTCCGGCAACATACAATATTCATTGAGGAGTGGCCAGATTAGCGCCAATAAATTGGCGTTCCATGAGCTTCAATCCAGATCGATCACGGCAGGACTGCCCTTGCACAGAGAACTGGATTCGAGAGGGGTGTGCTGTGCATGCGGGGCCACCTCCCGTTAAAGCATCGGCGATGGCGTGTACATGCGAGGCCTGTGGTGGGTCTCACGCGCAACTACCATTACAACAGCACGATAGCGATTACCCAGACTCTCAGAGGAAGCTCTCGTGCATTCAATCGTCGAGGATGAGTGAGGAGGCCGAGCACCAACTCCCTGCTGAAGGTGTGCACAAGTGATCGAAAGGCACGCGCCACCTCTCCGAGATATGAAGCATATCAACTCGAGCTTATGGTACATTGTCACTCATGCATATCAGGAAATGGGGTAGAGACAGCTGAAGAGGAGCTAGCAGCCACTGTGGACAGAAAGGGGAAAGGTAAGGCAGCTGTTGACAACGAAGCCCCTGCAGAAGAGGCTGGGGATGAGGACGACGACGATGAGGAGGCCGACTTTGAGGTATGATTTGCACCTCGGAGATCCCATTCATGGGTGCGAGCATGTCCCTGGAGGCGAACTTTGCTGGCAATCTCCCAAACTTTAGCCCGGAACTCATTGTCACAGGAAGAGGATGAAGATGGGGAGGATGACAGCGAGGCCGGCGGTGAGGTGTGGGAGGCTTGGAGGACCAGGCGTACGAGTTGCTGTGAGCGGTGGATGGGAGAGAAGTGCAGGAAGTGGCTCCAAGTCTGGGCCTCTCTGGACATGAGACAGTATTTGATAAAACAACGCCTGCCCTCATGACCAATAAGTGATCCTCTTAACAATTCATGCACAGGGTCTGATGCGGAGAGTGACGGAGAGGATGCGGCAGAAGTGAGAAATTCTGGTGCTTATGTTTGTTCAAGGCTTTACTGTGTCTTTGTATCCTCAACCTCAATACAGGCTGCCATGGCCCCTTGCAGTTATGATGTGGGCCTGATGCTTGCATCTTAAGCACAAGCAGCGAGCCTCAAATTCCCCTCAAACCATGTTACAGGAGGCCGGCACATCATCTGGCGGCCCGAGGAAGCGCTCCAGGCTGGCAGCCGAGGAGGATGTGGAGGAGGAGGTCATCGCGGGCATGTCAGGTGATGGCACGGCATGTTGCTTTGGGCGACTGGGTACGACGGCTCGTCTTGGAATGGTGGAAAGGTCCCGAGAACAGGGACGTCACCGGATCCCCAGCTGCAGGCGCACGGCGTGACACCGCTGCACCACCTCCTCTCGCCTGATCGTCCACACACTGAGTGCATCTCCAGGTGACGAGGTGGACCCCGGCCTGATCATCCCTGGGGGCAGGCGAGCCCGGCGAGGCCGCCCCTCCAGCTCCGGCGCCGCAGCGGGGCCAAAGTACCAGGCCGCACCCGCCCTCGACTCTGATGAGGACGAGTGGTGACTGTCGCAGCGTGCGTTCCCTGCGTGCTCCACGCCAGGCCTGACGCCGACACTCGGCATGAATTTCGAACCAGACCCGGCTTCAAAATAGGCAGCCTGGTGGCTGCCATGCGCGAGCAGATCAATTTACCAAGGAGTCAGGGAGGTGTCCACACAAGTCTGTCCCTCTGGGACGGTGGGTGGAAAACGGTCCCAAGACCAAGAGTCACGAGCGGCAGTTTGGAAGCCAAGTGGGAGGGATGCCTTTTGGCAGCGACTCCCGTCCGCCCCCCAGCACAGCCTCACCCGTACAGCCCCCTGCGGAAGATGAGACCCAGCGCGGCGGCGCGGGCGCCCAGGCCCAGCGCCCCCAGCGCGGCGAGGCAGGCCCCGAAGCGCCGCACATCGTACCGCAGCGAGGCGAGGTCCGCGCAGCGCGCCAGCAGCCACACGCCGGTCAGGCGGTTGCTCTCGCTCACCACCATGCCCTCCAGCGCCCAGCGCGCGAAGCTGAAGCCTTGCAGCAGGCGCACCGCGCCCGAGGGGTTGCCCTGCCGCGCGATCATGGTGGAGAGCAGGGAGAAGACCGCCGCCGCCAGCTGGGCGGTGCCGGGCTCCAGCACCTGCGGGAGTGGGATGCGCAAGAGGGGGTGGGGGGTAGTTCTAGCAGCAGCCACGGGTTGTTGTGATGGGTCAGCAAGGCGCCGCAAAGGCTGTCGTCCAGTGAAAGCAGGCATTGCTCGTCCCCAGAGTTTTCCCCCTCCCCGCATCCTTCACCCTGCAGCCAGGCAGCCCTGCTCCCGCCGCCTCTATCCCCTTCCAACTCCCCCCCCCCCTCCCTCTCTCACTTCCCCCCCCCCTCCTCTCTCATCCCCCCCCCCCCACCTGGCTCAGGAGGTAGGCCATGCCCGTGCAGGCGTATACGGTGGCTGCGGTGACGGCGTACATCTGCCAGACCACAGCGCGGGGTACCGCGAAGGAGTACCACATGACCAGGTAGACCGCCGAGTGGATGAGCGACAGCACCGCATCCACGCTGTCCAGCGCCAGGAAGAAGGCGAGGCGGTTCAGGCCTTGGAGATGGGTGGGTTGGGGTGGGTGGGGGGGGGGGGGTAAGTCAAGGGGGGTCCGAAGGGTCTGGTGGGCCGGAGGGTGGTGAGGGACATACAAAGCTGGGCACCTCTCTCAGTCAACCCCTCAAGTGTCACTCACCCACCCCACCCCACACCTGGATCAAAACCAAACAACCCACTCACACACCTGCCGCCGCCTCGCGCTGCGCGATGAGGCGGCGCGTGCCAAAGGTGGAGAGCCCGCCCACGGTGGCCATGAGTCCGACGGCCACCACGGAGTAGGTGGTGGACACGGCGTAGTGCATGATGGTCTCCCGCCCGCGGTCGCTCAGCAGGCCCAGCGTCATCCCCGTCACGGCGATGATCACCGTGTCCACCAGCACGCCCACGGGGTCGCGGCTGCGCTGCAGTGCAGCCCGGCCCAGGCACCACCGGTACTGGCGCAGGAAGCCGGGGACCGCACGTGTAGCCAGACGCACCCTTTGGGAAGATAGTGTGGGGGGGTGGGGCGGGGGGGAAAGGGGGAAAGGGCCGCAAGGACTTGTTCAGATGGCTGACAGGACAGCGAGGTGCTGGCGATGCAGGCGTTGCTATCATGTAGCCCGGGCGCTCATACCTGGTGCAGGTCCTCTCGTCACCCTCCCACCCCCAAACATGTCTTCCCATGACAACCACCCACCGTTCGCGCTGGGAGCGTGAGGTGGGGCGCCCCCCGCTGTTCACCATCACGCCGTCCAGCCGGCCCACGGCCTCCACCATGCCGCTCCAGAAGTCGGCCAGGGTGGCGTGCGCCTGGTCCAGCCCGTAGCTGGAGGCCTGCGAGGGGGTGTGGGTTGAAGGAGACGCTTTCAGGCATGCGTGCCAGAGAGGAAGAGGGCCCGGAGCATCAGAGGGACACAACCGGATGCTGCTCTCACTCCCCCGTGTATAGTCTGCTGCGATCCTGGCCGGCAGGGCGTGCGCTCTGCTGGTCCCGCATGTGCGGACCGCACTTCAAGCAGATTTCCTGGTGAGTGGCACTCTGCACCGCCCTCTGCAAACTGGGCAGCCAACCGTTATTCCTTCCCTCCCGCCGCCCACAGCCCTCCAGTAACACCCACCCACTCCCACGCACCTCCCAGACCCTACGGCGCCACAGCCGCAGCGCGGGCCAGGTGACCTTCTTCCCTGGGGACGAGAGCGGCCCAGCGGGGGACAAGCAGCTGTCGAGTGCGTGCGGCGAGCCCTCTCCACAGCGGCCCGAGGGGCTGGCGACAAGCCCCTCCTCGGGATCACAGAGGCGTGCCGGCCGGCGCCATCCCGCGGGCTCTCCTCCCCGCTCCAAGATGCCGTCCCCGCGGCCATACACTCCGCCCCAGTCCGGCCCAGCCTCCGCACCGCCGCCGGCCTCGCGCGCCGCCCAGGCCTCGGCCAGGAAACCCGGCGCCACGGCGTCCAGGCCCTCCGGCCCCCTCCCCCGGTCGCCGGTGATGATGTCCAGGAACGCGTCGGCGGGGTTCAGCCGCGGCGGCAGCACGTAGCCCAGGCCCTCGAAGTGGGTCTGCACCCCCTGCGCCGGCCCGTAGAAGACGGTGCGGCCGCCGGCGCCCAGCAGCAGCACGTCGTCCAGCATGGCCAGCACTTGGGCGGAGGGCTGGTGCACCACGGCGGCGGCGGTGACCCCGCGACGCACGATGCCGCGCAGCGCCGCCACCAGCGCGCGCGAGGCGGAGGCGTCCAGCCCGCTGGTGGGCTCGTCCAGCAGGAGCAGGGCGGGGTCGGCCACGAGCTCCAGCCCGATGGACACGCGCTTCTTCTGCCCGCCGGAGATGCCGCGCGCGTCGGGGTCGCCGATCAGGCTGTCGGCCACGCCCTCCAGTCCCAGCGCGCGCAGCGTGCGCTCCACTGCCGCCTCGTGCTGGGCGGGGTGTGTGTGGGAGGGCAGGCGGAACCGCGCCGCGAAGGCCAGCGCCTCCGCCACGGTGAGGTCGGGGTGCATGATGTCATCCTGCGCGTGTGTTTTGGAAAGGGCGTATGGGTGCGCGGGAAGGCGGGGGGGGGGGGGTGCACATGAGCGGCAGAACGTGCTGGGATGGCCCCTTCCATCTCCAGAGCGTCAGGTTGGCAGTGAAGGCCCGCACAGCCGGCGGCCACGAGGGCACCAGGTGCTGATCAAGGCTCCAGGAGGCCTCTGCTCGCACCACGACCATGAACCACAGTGCTGCCTCCACCCCCACCTCCCGGGCCCTCACCCACCCCTCGCCCTCACCTGCGGTACAAAGCCCGTGACGCGCTTGTACCGCTCCAGCCGGTCTACGACCCCGTTGACCCGGACCTCGCCGCTGCGCCGCCCCTTCTGCGCCCTGCCCGCCAGTACGTTCAGGAGGGTGGTTTTGCCTGCGGCGGCGATGGACGGTGCGACAAGGCTGGCACACAGCCTCGCTGTCGGAGGTTGTCCGGTGCCTGAATCCCCCCCAAAGGACTGCTGCTGTGGCTCCAAGTTTCCATCACACGACAACCTCACGACTCCATTCAACACCCCGGAGCTGCCATTGCAGCCAGGTCCTGCTCACCTGCCCCGGAGGGACCCATGATGGCCGTCAGCCGCGACGCCGCCAGGCAGCCAGTCACGCCCTGGAGCACCGCCTTGCGGCGGGGACCCAGGGCCAGACCCAGCGCAAAGAACTCGATGTGCAGCTGGGGCCGTGGAGAAGGGGGAGGGGCCGGCCCCGCCTCCCCAGCCCCGTCTGGCGGCTGCGCGCCCGCGCCGTTTGCATGGTCTGCCATTGACGAGAGGGATGGCGTCGAGCCTGAGGGCGTCGCGGGGAAGGTCCGGGGGGGGGGCATCGTCTCGCCAGGCGGGATCGGAGCACCGGCTTGGGCGGCGCCGATCGGTCCATCCCGCCCGTCCGCCGCCCTGTCGGTCGGCGCCTCGGCCTGCAAATGTTCCAGCAGCGGGTTGGACCCCTTGTTCCAACCCCGCCGCAGCCACTTGCCCCAACGCTTGCCGGGCGATGTGCTCTGAGCCATGAGAAACCGGAGGGGGGGATGTCTGGTGAGGTGCAGAGGCAAAGGAGACGGCGCATCCTCTCGGCCAGGGATCCATTGAAGCAGGCTTCCTTCGTTCAACATGGCCTCCTTGCGCCTCTGGCGGACCTGGCCCGTGTGCAAGCATCGCCGCACGGCTGGAGGACGTCAAGCCTCCTAGCACCACTGCCACTGACCCCCAGCATCCCTCACCCCGACGAAGCCAGCCTCACCTCTGCAGCGGGGCCCCCCTCCGCCTCCCCTTCCGCCGTCGCCGCAATGTCAGGCGGGGGCAGAGCCTGCGTGCGGCCCCAGGTCACTGCCAGGCGCTCCATGGAGGACAGGCGGCGCATGAGCGCGCGGTACCACTGCGACAGCTGCCATACGATGCAGAGCACCAGGATCAGCAGGAAGTCGATGGTGAAGCCTGCGGAGTGGTGTCGGGGTGAGGAGGTAGGGGGTGCAGCTCCAATCAAGTTAATGTACATCTGCCTGCTTCCACCAGCGGAAGAAACCCAAGTCAGCCGCGGCGAGGCCCATACGCATGCGCTCGTGCCCATGGCGAGCACTTCTGCGGACCAAATACACTGCCGGCCGGCGGCTGCGCAAGCGCAAAGACAATCGGTCTCCCCCGCTGGTTTCCAGCAGGCGCACCTGTGAAGTTGTCGTCGAAGATCTCGGTGCCCGGCGGGCAGACGGCGCCGGGGGGGCAAGCCTCCGGCTCAGTGGTGCCTTGGCGGCAGAAGTGCCGGGCGGGGCAGGGCACGCTGCGCAGGGTGGTGGGGCAGTAGGAACCCCCCCTGCAGTACACCGATCCGGTGCCCTCGCTCCAGTCGGCCACGGGGAAAGCGTGCTCGGGCGGAACGATGCCCCACTTGTCGGCGCCGCCGCAGCCCAGCCCCGCCCGGCGCTTGTAGGCGTAGGGCGCGCACCACATGTCCGGGTCCTCGCCCGGGTGCCCGGTGCGGTAGGGAGGCGGCGGCGGCGCTGGGACGGCCCTGTGCATGGGTGATTTGGTGTGGCGGGGAGCCACGGTGAGTCGAGGCGGTGTGGGTGAGGGTGTTCATGAGAGCATTGTCCGTGTTGGGGGACTCCCGTGTGCAAAGCCCTGCCCAGCCGGCCCTGCTCAAACAGCCCGGTTGCCCTTCCCCTGAACCCCAACCCCCACCAAGCACACCTGGGGCAGTAGGCGCCCAGCGGACAGGGCATGACGCAATCCAGGCCCGAGGGGCAGAAGTAGCCCTCGCAGCAGGGGTGGGTGGCGGCCGCGGCGGCCGACCAGGCACGGGCCTCGTCACGGTGGGCGGGGTTGGCGTCGAAGAAGCCGGGGGAACAGGCGGAGGACGCATTCCCCGCTCGGCAGTGGGGCGTGTCGGGCACCTTCTCCGGATTCTCCGTCGGCAGCATGTACTGTGTGGGTGTTTGGGGGGGTGAAGACATCAAGGGGGAACCCCGAGAGCGCACGCGTATGCAGGCGCAAGCCATGTGCATGCACAGCAGGGGCTTGACCTTCACCGAGAGATTAGACCAGCAGGGGCTGGCAAATGTAAGCCGTGCAGGTCGCGCTGGCCGGCCTGTGCCACGGGGTGCGGTGAACTCCGGCTCACCCTGGCATAGGACTCTATCTCTGCAGGGCGGCACAGGAAGGTCTCCAGCCCCTGGCTGCTGGCGCACACCGGCTCGCTGGCGGGCCCTGAGGGCAGGGGCCAGGGGAAGGAGGCGGCCAGCAGGCCCAGCGCCGGCTCACGCCTGTCCCCTACGCAGAAGGCGACCTGCGCCCGGGTGGCATTCCACAGCCGGTCCACGGTCCGGGACCAGGGGGTGTCCGGCACCTCCGGCCTTCGATGGGAGGGTCCCAGAGGAGTCCATGGCACCCAGTCCGGGCCCCAGGCCCTGGACTGCACCGCGAGGAGGAGGGTGAGCGCGAGGAGGTGGCGACAAAGCATGGAGCCTGGCAGGTGCTCAGCTCGGGCTGGGGTGTTCCATGACGATCGGCATGCCGGGGGCGATCCAGGCCCAGTATGTCATGACAATTTCCCTCGAAAAGACAATCGCTGGATCCCTGCTGCCTCGGGACTCTGTGCCGAGCGTCCTTCAGGATTTGAACATGGTTGCGTTCCGGGGGTCAGGGTTTTCCGGACCCCCCGTCGGCCGGTGGTGGACGCTGGCTCAGGGCTGTCTTACAGCAAGAGCATGGTGGCAAGATGGGCCCGTCTTCATGCCCTATCGCTCATTCAGCACGTCCAGCGCACACCTCCCTGTCGAGCCGTGTTCTGGCAGCAGGCCTGCAAGGGACGCCCGCAGCGCCGTCAGCGCAGCCACGCCCGGCTCCGCCCCTGCGGCCTCCACCGCCACGCCGCCCGCCTCACACCCCGCCAGCGCGGCGCCGGCGAGGCTGTGCCCGCCCAGCATGCCCCACAGCACGCCGGCCGTGAAGGCGTCGCCCGCACCCACGGTGTCCGCCACCTGGCGCGGCCGGGCGCGGCCCCTAGCCTCGTCGCCGCTCCGGGCGCGCATGACGCACCCATCCTCCCCCAGGCTGACCACGGCCAGCCTGCACCGACCGCTCAGGAAGGCGAGCACCGCCTGCAGGGGGTCGCTGTGGTCGGCGACCGTGTCGCCTCCGAGCTGGGCCATCTGCGGACAGGTGTTGTGGGTGGTAGGTTTGCCTGGGGCCTGCTCCTCCAAGGAAGGACCGAAACCCACTCGCCCAACAAACCAGCCTCCGCCCGCTCCCTCACTCCCACGCTGTTCCCCCAACCAAAACAGATAAAACCTCAAACGCGCCTTGTACACCACCGCCGCCTCCTGCTCGTTGCAGAAGACAATGTCCACCAGCCCCGCCTCCAGTATGCGGAGGATGGCGGGCCAGGCGCCCCGGACCAGCTCCAGGGAGGCTAAGTCGAGCGAGGCGAGGGCGCCGGCGCGCCGCGCCGCCCGCAGCACCCCCTCTGCAAAGCCCCCACGGTACAGGCAGTATCCCTCGCAGTGCACGAGGCGCGCGCCCTCCAGCAGGCCGCCCGGCACCAAGGCCGGGTCTTGCAGCTGCGCGGCAGCTGCCAGGCAGGTCCGCATCGTGCGCTGGCCGTCGGGCGTCACCTGGTGGGTGAGGGCCCAGGGCGCGGAGATTATGGGACCACAGGCTCTTGATAGTGAGATTAGATCCTCGTGTTATGCTCTGGCAGGGTGCACGAGCGAGGCCGCCAAGTCCACCATAGATACAATCACGAAAGACACCTTCACAGAGTCATGGAGGCTCCCAGCACCTGTTCTCACCAGGCAGAGGCAGGCTGCGGTGGGCTGGGGGGTGGAGAGGAGGGCGGGCAACACGTCATACTCCTTCAGGCCGGAGGACACCAGTTGGGCTTCCGCATCCTCCCCGACCATGCCGCAGAAGCAGACGCTGGTGTCGCCGTCCCCCGAGAGCACTGCCAGCGTCTTGGCAACATTGGCCGCAGAGCCTCCCAGCGCCCTGTCGGGCAGTGTGAAGGAGACAAGAAATGCTTAATAGCACCTGATGATCACTATCTACTCGGGTGACAGTTAATGGAGGGCGAGTCGCCCAACATACATGCTCCCCAGTAGCATGGCGCCGGTACACCTCGACCCACCTGCGTGCCGTTGCCTGGACTGAGGGGATGGAAAGGAGACCTTCAAGCTCCTCAGAACTCACCAAGGAGCAGCCACCTGGTTCTGCGCCGATATCATCCAGCACAGATGCGGGTACATGAGCCACAATGTCCACGATGGGGTCACCGAACAGGACCACTTTAGTGCCGACCATGCCAGTCAGTCCAGGCCTTCACATCAGTGGGCGTGTAACCTATCAAATTTGCATCGACATATGCTGGAATCATCCTTCGAAAAGTTCTGCACGAGACACAGCCCCTCAAGTGATATTCGCAGGTTCTGGCGCCCGACTTTCGGGGTGCCCAGCAGGTCCTCCGCAGGGGGGTCCCTCGCACTTCAGTCTCTCTCACGGACGCTAGCGAATACTCTGGGACCTAAATGTACATTAAGGTTTGTCATAGCCCACCGCAGCACATCAGTTTCTCCCGCACTGTATCAGCAGCCCATAGCTGGTAGATCACTCCAGCCGAACGCGCCCCGGCATCGCGCAAGGATGTTATAGATGCCCGGAATATACTCGTTATGGATTGTTGGACGGAACGGAGGACTGCTTTACAACAGGGTGAGCGCCAGATCTAGCGTGTGTCGTGTAGGTGCCCTGTCTTAAGGAGACCTGTTCAATTCTCCACCTAGCCTGGCCCCCATTTGGTCAGGATCTGCTGCCGCTCCCCGGTCTAGACTTCAATGACAAGCTACGCCTTGCGAGCAGCTGGTACGTACTTGTGTGTGGTGAAAAGATGCACTGGCTGTAGGGATGAAGCCACCTCCTCTGTTGACCTCCTTCCTGGCTTTGTCTGGCACTGCAGGTTTGGCATGTGCAGCATCGCCACCCAGCTTTCTCCAGTGAAGGGCAGCTCAGGTATTAGATGGCTGGACACGTATGGCACGAAGAGTCACGATGACGAGATTGGGAAGTATGGGCTGTCCGAGCGCTTGCCTTATGGCATGCTGTGGGTCAATGCTTGTACCAATCATGAGCCCTTGACGCCCACCATGCGCCAGAGATCAAGCTGATGCAGGCCGACAACTTCGATTTGCACAGCTTCCAGACCCTGACCGGGACGATGTTCATGATGATCACCCAGCCCAACACCCCGGAATCAGCAGAGACCTTGCGAGGCCCGTGAGTGTGCAACACATACGATTACGGGCAGGCGTGGTCTTGGCGATGTCTGGAGTTGCTGTGGGGCCTCGTGCAATGGCCGGCCTCCTCCTGCATTACAACTCCCTCTGCGCACACCCAGCCATCCTCCTCATACCCACGTGAGGTAGGTGCCTCACCCCAGCTCCATCGCTGTGTTTGCAGGGTGTACGAACTGTACGCAGACTATGTGCTGAAGAATCCTTTCCATGAGATGGACCAGGTCATCAAGGCAGAACTGTTCGACAGCCACCTGGTAGCCACCCTGTCGGCCAGCAACAGGAAATGGGGGGCCGCTTGATGACCGATGCTCATTGCTGAGGCGCTCAGGATGAGTGGGCCTCTTGTCCTTTGACGTGCTGTAACACTGAGTGCCCTCCACTCAGGGGCCCAGGTCTCCCTTTCCCTCCGTGATACTACTGGCTGTTGATGGATCAAGGTCTCCTTTGCCCTGCCCCAGGCGAGTCTCAAGCGTGCGCTTGCATTTCCTGATTAAAGTATCGCACAAAATCCGGCAGAACAGGCACCCGGAAAGTCCTTCTAAGTCACACTCAAACCAGAATTGGGCCATTGACACCGCATATCCAGCGGGCCGGGCCGAAACTGTACGACAATTCAACGGGCTACTTCACCACGGCAGACTGGGAAGCAGCCGGCGTCGCTGTGAAGCCTGTATACCATGGAAGCCCTCTACACAAGCGGTGTCCCCTTACGAATCGCATAGATGCCTACCTGCACGGCGGAAGCCGTAAGTACAGGACCTCTATCATGCGCGAGAATAGCCCTCCCTACAGGTCACGAATCCAAATCGAGCCCCCATCGGACTCGCGTTTGCTGCTCTCAGCAGGGCTTGCGACATTATATGGGGTCTCATTCAGAATTTGAATCCTGGATGGAAGGGTAAACTCTCCCATATGAAGGAGCCCTGCATTTACAACTCTCTTCGTGCAGGAATTCAGCTATGCGACTCGTGAGAACGTCGCTTGGGTAGAGGCTCTCCGTCACAGAGAGCCTTCACAGCGATGCCGGCGGCCTTCAAGTCGGCCAAGGTCATGTAAGCCGGCGCAGGATCACACACACTGGGCCCGTCCAGCATGGTATGCGGTCTCAGTGGGAGTTTGTGCTTCATTCATAGTTTGAAATACATTCCGGGGTGTTTAGTTTGGCAGCATTGTTAGCTAAACAGAAGCGGGAAGAGCGGGTGCTACGACAAGCCACGTGGACTTTTGCTGGGCGCGCCCATCCCCTGCAGCCGGGCGTTGCGCGTCAGCACTGGATGCCCCAAACTAAGTCATACACAGTCTCAAGCTCGAGCAGAATAACACTAGAGTATTACTCAGCTGAACATACATCGATAGCGAGAAGCTTGGTGGACTCGAGGCGTAGCTGGACATCTGCATCTACGCCCAACATGGAGGACACCCATCACGCGCACAGCTCTTCCATGGGTTGGGGGGATCACGACCAGCTCTTGGGCGCTGGACAGGCGACAGGGCGCGGGTTTGGCGGCCGACACGCGGTGTTCTCTTTCAAGACGTCCTGGCGGGTCCTGAAAATCAAACTGTCGACTTGGAAGCGGTGAGGCGCAGGGTGTGTTATGTGGGTCGGTCCTGGCATATTCGCCGTCATGCAGAATTAGAGGACACATTCAAGGCGGTGCAACGCGGCAATCGCTGCACTCGCGCGCTGCAATGGAGCACTCTCCCTGCCGCACCGGCTCATCTCCTCGGACCGTCCAACCCCTGTTCGCCAGGCGGACGGAGAGCTGGTTTGACGAGCTGAGCATCAGCAGCAGGCGCAGGGGGGGTGCCCCGCTGCTCGCCTGAGATCCTAGCCTCCCCAATGCATACCCGCGCAGCATTCTGGCCTTGTACAATGTCACCCTTGCAGCTCTTTGCTTCCCTGCTCCACCTGGGCCTTCCCGCGGAATGGCGCGTATCGATTCTTAATTCTGGGCTGGTGCCTGCCCGGCACCTACTTGCTGTTTGCGACCGCACCTTTGTTTGTAAGCAATGGCTTTTGGGTTGTGGAACCAACATGGTGGGTGTGGCTGCGTCCAATGTACAGGGGCAACCCCATGCATGATCATCGGGCAGTCCAGGCCAGCTTCAAGCACCTGCCCCGGCTTCAAGGCACTCCGAGCAACTGCCACCCAAACCCCTGCGCCAGCTGCGGCCGCGCCGGCGCCTCGGCCGCCCGCACCGGCCGCTTCATCACCGCCCACCTCCCGTCCTGCTCCTGGCTCTGACGCGCGCGCGCCGCAGGGGGCCCCCCCTCACCAGAGGGGGGGGGCGGCTGCGCCAGTGCCATGCTGCTCCAGCTGGGGCCGCGAGTGTCGTCCCCGGCGCGCTCGGCCCTGGGCGCCGCCCCAGCCCAGCCCCTGCCGCCGGAAGCCGCGTCCCCGGCGCTCGCGGGGGCTGCCCCGTACCGGGTCCAGGACCGGTCGATCTTGAACAGGCCGCGGATGCCGCCGCCAAACGCATCCAGCACCTCTGCCGGGAGCGCAGTGTCGGAAAGGGGTCAGTATCAAGGCCAGTGCTTGCACATTTCATGACCATCGAATGCATGCACCGGCACCCTGGCCCCGCAGGGCGTGCCGTCAATTGTGCCCGGCAGCGAAGGGAAGAAGACGGGCACCGTCGCAGCGACAGGCCACATCACGGCCACAGTGCCGGAGCGCAAGGGCAACACTGGGCGCACACCGTTCTGCCCGGGCAAGTCCCGATCCCAGACACCTTCCCCCGCAACGCGCACCCCACCTTTCTGGTCAGCGGCGGCGGGGAACTGGGCGATGGCCACGTCCGCACCCTCCCAGTCCAGCCGGTATGCCCCCTCCCAGCGCCGCAGGTAGTAGTGCAGGTCGGCGGACAGGGCCACCTCCGTGAAGCGGACGGGGTGGTCGGCCTCTGCCGCCTCCATCGCCGCCAGCTCGGCAGGCGTGACCCCCGGCGCGACCCTGGGGATGCGGGGGATGGGCGGGGCGTCGAGCGCTTGAAAAGGCATGCGGGGTCGAGGGGATATCCATACGACTGCTTCTCCCGGGCCTTCCCCCTCCTCACACACCAAGAAACATCGACCAACCTCGACAGCGGGCGCAGGGGCAGGGCCGCGCCGGGCGTGCGCAGCAGTTGGACACAGCGCTGCGGCTCCTGGCCCACGCCCACGCTGACGAGGCCGTAGCGCCCCGCCAGCGCGTGCGCCACGGCGCGCTGCCCGTGCGGCATGGGCCACAGCGTGCGCCGCTGCGGGCCGCCGCCGGCCACGAAGTCGGCCAGCGCGGCCTCCAGGCGCGATATGGCGGCGGGGTCGCGCTGCGCGGCAGAGATCAGGGCCGCGTCGTAGCGGACCTCGCGGCCGGCCGCGCTCCCCCCGGGGCCAAACGCGCGCGGCACGGCGGGGTCGCCGTCCACGCCAAAGGCATCGGCCAGCGTGGCGCGCCGCGCCGCCAGCGCGCAGGCCCCATCGCAGGCCAGCGGCGGCGGCGCCTCGCTCTCCTCCAGCGCGTAGTGGCTGGTGCGCCGCCCGCAGGGGCACCGCGTCGTCTTCT